GTTTCTCGTTTGTAAAAGGACGTTGAAAGTTGCATGTGAATTTGAAATCGGATACATTGGTAGGACACTTGTCTAACATGTAGTCTGCGGCGGCTAAAAGGGAAACGCGCGAAGTAATGGACCGCTTTATTCGCATTTTTCGTACACTCGCAGTGGCTGAGCAGATTGCTTTCAAGCATTTTATGCAATTTCTGATCATTTAGTTGGTGAAAAAAAAACGATCGGTTCATCTTGCAGTGATAGTAAGATTTGCACGGGCCACTAATTCATCCGGCTATGAATTGTTGTTCAACATCTATGACCGGAACCTTCGACGATTTCTTATGGAAGTTAAGAATTTTCTTTAAGAATCGTCCGCTCTGGAGGAATGGTTGGAAAATGTACCACTGGGAGATGTAATGGCTGTAGTTAGCTTTGACGAGGCATCCAACATGTAGGAGTTTCCAGAATAACAATTTAACATAATATTTATTGGACTTCTGTGATGAAAGATTTGCTCGTCTTTATTTATAGGTTATCAGACATGGCAAAAAGGATATTTTACGAAATGGGATCCAGCATGATCCACAGACTCAAATTTCGAGCGTCTTGGTAAGAATGACAGCGTTCAATCATAAACTCAAAATGAACTGTATTCTCTTTTGAAGGTACTTCGTTGGTCATAAAGGATTGGCAGCGTACACCCCTTTCGAGGATCTGAATATTCCATCTGGTAACAGCTGGGCGAAACCTATCAAGACATCAATATGCCTTCCTAAGAAGCGTAAGCTGTTAACCTCATATTTGAGTGTATGTGTAGGAGGAAATTTCGTCTGCGAGTGCAAAAAGTCATCCAAAAGTCAAAAAAAGGTTCGTCCTTTCCCGTGAACAGTGAATGTTAATCTCTTTCGTAGTTTATGTCAGTTTTATTGCTTCAATTAGTATATTGACGTCTAAAACACTCAAATATATTCATTGAAGAAGAGTCGAAATTTCTCCGAAAGAGTTGCAAAACTGATGTTAAATTTTAGGAGCTTTTTTGGCGAGCTCTCCTTCATTACAGCGCCATAGAATTGCCAAAAAACTTTTCGGCTCGGACAAGCTTACAGTTCCTATGATAATCTGAGCCTTCCGATATGAGCTTTTTCAAATTTGACCAACATTAGATTTTACAGAGAAGTACTATCGCACGCCTACAATTTGATTCTTGGACTTTTCAAAATATGTGGAGCGAAATCGTTGTTTTCTAACGGCTGCTGGTTACAGTTGATACCTGGCGTGGTCGGCCAAGTGGTAAAGCAGGCACTTCTACTCGCCCACTCAATCTTCCTCGCCGTCATTTCTGCCTGAAGCACGATCGACATGGGGAATTTTGTAGTGGTCTGTTTTAAACCATTATGCGGATGAAGAACAGATGTTCTCTATCATGAGGAGTTCATCTACATCATCTCATTTATAGAAAACCGCATCGATGAACTCATCCGTCCCAGAGCTTTACTGAATCGCGACCGAGTTGGAGATCCTGTTTTTAACATGCCTATTGTAGTTGCTGCAGGTAGAGCTTTTCTCAGCCTTTGACTTGGCTCACTTCCAAAGATGTAACAGTTATTCATATCAGGACTATCAACGGATTCTCTGCGCATATGTCTGGAATCGCTTATGGAACAGGAAGGTTTAAATACGCAAATGATCATAGTTGTGTATGACAAGGTTAGGAATATTCCCAGTTATATTTTTTCGTCCCACTACTGCGACATATTTTCAGGAATATCCGGAAAATGCCGAGCTTTCTTCCCTTTTTCATGTGAAGTCTCTGCCCGTTAACGCATCGAATGGATATAACTGTCAGTTTTGCTTTTTCCCTTATTTTTGTAGTTTTCTTTTCTTTATTGATAATTGTGCTGAGTAATTACAGCTCTTATATTGTCGGCACTTTCCGCCGCATTCGCAGTTTTTCCATCCGCAACTTCCGTCGCTGTCATTGAAGAAGATATCCGACTATCACCTGATTGGCTGCTCTACCTCTCCCAAACATTAGAAAATAATAAGCTGATTCGTCTCACACATATTTTTGAAAAGTCCAAGAATCACCCACTTGTAGGGGCGATCGTACTGCTCTGTAAAATCTAATGTTGGTCAAATTTGAAAAAGCTCATATCGGAAGGCTCAGATTATCATAGGAACTGTAAGCTTGTCCGAGCCGAGAAAGTTTTTGGCAATTCTATGGCGCTGTAATGAAGGAGAGCTCGCCAAAAAAGCTCCTAAAATTTAACATCAGTTTTGCAACTCTTTCGGAAAATTTCGACTCTTCTTCAATGAATAAATTTGAGTGTCACATTGTTTTAGACGCCAATATACTAATTGAAGCAATAAAACTGACATAAACTACGAAAGAGTTTAATATTCACTGTTCACGGGAAATTCATTTTTTAAATTTATTTCATTTTTGACTTTTGGATGATTTTTGCACTC